AAAAATTCTTACTTTTTCTATTGTTAATTACTGAGGGACATCCAGTGACTCCCTGTATTTCTGTTTTTACTACACTTTTAAAGATTGAGATGTCATTATATACAATAACAGGCATAGATCTTAAGTGTTGTTTAATGACTTTGACAGCTAACACCCATATGACCACCACCTAAGATATAGAAGGCTGATTTCCTACTTAATATAAGTGACAGGGGGATGGAGGTAGCAAACTACCATTGCATGTGTATACCTATGTAACAGTCCTGCAAGATCTGCACATGTACCCCAGAACTTAAAGTGTATATTTAAAAAAGACTTGTTTCCATCACCAAGAAAGTCATTTCTTGCTCCTTTCTAGAAAATTCTCTCATCTCAACTCCACAATCACTTTTTAAATTACCATAGATTCATTTTGCCTTCTGAAATTTTTATATAAATGGAATTATGCTGTATGTATTATTTTGTGTCTGGTTTCTTTCACTCAGCACACCGTTAATGAGATTTATCCAAGTCATTACCTGTGTCAGTAGTTCACCCTTTTTCTTATTAGCAAGTGGTATTCCTCTGTATGGATATACTGCATTTGTTCATCCATTTTTCTTCTGTATTTCTCAATTAAAATAAATTTAGTTATTTCTACAGTATCATATGCAATGTATAAATCAAAATTACATGTAGAAAAATTTGGTCTTATAAATAGCATCTTAAAAATAGGTGAAATGCATGATAAAATGATTGACATTTATCATTTCTATAGCTCTCCAGAGAATGAGAAAGTTAAGCCAGGTATAGTGGCATTGCCTATAGTTCTAGCTACTCAGGAAGCTGAGCTGGAAGGATTGTTTGAGCATTGGTTTGAGTCCAGCCTGGGCAACACAGTAAGACACCATCTCTAGGGAAAGAGAGAGAGAGAGAGAGAGAGAGAGAGGGAGAGAGAGAGGGAATGAGAAAGTCATAAGCCCTCTGTTGACCATAAAATTGCAATGTCCATATGTTATTTAACTTGAAAATACAAACTGCCAAAGAAAAATTATAAGTGGGTCAATTCTGTTGAGGAAAAAATGAGCCCAAAGACAGATTTAGAATTAATAAAATAGAAATAAAGAAAATAAAAAATAGGAGTTGCTTTAATTTGTTCTACACACACACTCACACACAAACATACACTCAGAGGTCAACAATATCCCTAGAGTCATTTTAGGTATGGGGGCAAGCAAGGGATAGGGGGCCAGCGGTCCTACATATCACAAATGAGTTCCCAATTGTTTTCTGCAGAGTATTTGATACTTCTTTAAATCAGATTTAATTGAAAATTTTAGATGTATTTAGTTACATATGAAAAGACTTGATATAGACCTTGGAAATGTAATAATTTTTCTCTGAAGTCCTTTTTTGTTCTTGGAGATGTAAGATTATGTGTTTAAGAATATGTTGGTTTAGAGATTATTTCTAGTTGGGTTTCCTAAGGACATTTTGTTAATGACACTAGTTTTAAAGAGTTATCATCTTCCCTGTTCTGAATTTCTGAAGCATAAATACTTCAAAATAGTGTTAAGTTTGAGATAGACTGCAAAGATAGAGGTACTGGCTTGATTTTGTTTTCTCCCTTAAGAGGATCAACATAATCGCAAACCATATATTAACTACTCTCCTGCAATTTCTAATTTACAATCTTTGTCAATTTAGAATTATGGAATCAGCCAAGAGTATCCGAAAACATTTCGTTTCTACTGTGCCTTTTTTCCCGGTAAGATAAATATCTGAAGAGGTTATTGCTTAACCTATAAAATAGTGACATCATAATTTATGAATACTGAAAACCCTGGTTCATTTCTGTTAAACTCTGTGATGAGCTAGACGTGGTGATTTTTCTCAGTGGAAAGGACATGTAAAAGGAAGAGGTTTTTTTTGTTGTATCCTTAATGACAGTCTGATCTCATTTTAGCCTTGATTACTCTCTGTCACTATTTGCCAGAAACTTTTCTTTGTTTCTACTTTCCGATATCAATTAAGTGGAAATGCCATTCCCCATTCTCGTCAGTATCATCTCATCATATTACCGAAGACCAGACCTCCCCAAATACAGACTCAAACATGCTGTTGAGAAACTGAGCAGGTGTGTTTCCCTAGACCACCAAAGGCTGAAAATTGTAGTCTGCAAGTTGTAATCGGACTAGAAGAATTTCAATATATCTGTGATGTTGTTCATTTGCATTGCTTTCATTTGTAACGTATCTCAGTGAGGCCATTAAAAGTAAGCCTTTTTTAAAAGAATGTATGTACTACTGTTTTACAACTGTAAGCCACTAGTTCTGAAACTCAGAAGACAAACCTACAGCAATACCCTATTATCTAGTTTGACTATTAACTTACATCTAATTTAAGGTTTTGAGGAAAAGGCTAAAAATATTTCCCTTCTAATTAAATGACAGTTTGGCAGTATGGTCAGCAAATAGAGCATGTATTTAGTTATAAACTAGTACTAATAGGAATAATGGTCTCCACTGACCATTAAATGTATTTTATGGTGGTAAATCAAGATATTTTTGTAAAGGACTCATTCTTAGGTCTATGTTTGTAATTAACTCTACTGTAGATACTATGCTATCCATGATAATTAAATTGTTTAAAAATCATAATTTAAACAGTCTATCCACTTGTTTGCCTGTAGGCAATATACATACAGGAAGTAATTAATAAAACAGTTAATCATCTAGACCATTGGCTTTGGGGTTCACATCTGGTTCTACTTACCCCCTTCATAAGTAGGTTAGTGACTTTAATCCAATTACTTAATAATTCTGATATTCAGTTTCATTTTTTTATCTTTAAAAGTAGAAGCTATAATCATAACAAGGGGTGACAGTAAAATATGTAAAGCACTCGGCATGTGCTTGTTACAGAATACTCAGTAATAAGTAGCTATATTTTAAATAACAACACATATTTTGATTCCAGGTAGTCAATTGACTTTTTATAAATATTTATTGTATTTACATAGGAAAATCAAGCATTTTCTTGTTTTGTCATTTGGGTTGCTCTCAGTCAGGCCCAAGTCAGGAGGAAATCCTGGTACAACACCAGTTTTTATTTGTTTGTTCACAATAGAAACCACTAGTGGTGTGATGGCCCCAAAGCTGACCATAACCTTGCCTCAGCCACTCTGTTTCTCTGCTAAGAGTGAGTGCTGTTTCTACTGCCTCTGCATGGAACCGGGATGTATGGTTTAGACTCTGTTTTCTAAGCAAATGTATTTGTTCCAAAACCATTATTTTTCTCACTGGTCCAGAAGGAAGGCATGAGGAAAACACTGAAGTTCATAAAATAAGTAAGGGTGAAGTACATACTTTATGTCTTCAAAGCTACTTTTATGGGAACTTTGCAGTTTACAAAAAGAGCTGATGATGATTAGTTTGCGATTCTAAAGCAAACAGCAGGGAGTTGGACTTTCTTTAAATTTGCCAACAGCAAACAACCTAGGAGTAGCCCTTATCTATCCTAACATCTTGGCAACGCCACTTATTTTTGAATATAGCTTTCTGAATGTTACAATGACCATACCAAAGGAGATATAAATACCCCCAAAGTGATGGGATCATTTTTTAGTGGTTTCATTGAAATTTGCTCTAAGTGCTACTGAGTAGAGGTATGTGGGAATAAAAATAATCAGTTTTATTGATTTCTTCTGTGACTTTGGGCCAGGACCAAGTCTATCTTGAACATCTTTATAACCTAGCACATTGTAGGTGCTTTAAAAATAACTCATAAATATTGACTGAGTAAAAGTGTCCATCTTAGTTCAATCCCCCTAATCATTGTTGTGGAGATGAGTGAAGACTGTAGGGACTCCATATAATCTATTAACAGTTTTTTGTTTTATTTTGTTTTTTGAGACAGAGTCTCACTCTGTTGCCCAGGCTGGAGTGCAGTTGTGCGATCTCGGCTCACTGCAACCTCTGCCTCCCAGATTCAAGCAATTTGCCTGCCTCAGCATCCCTGAGTAGCTAGGACTATAGGCGCCCGCCACCACTCCTGGCTAATTTTTGTATTTTTAGTAGAGATTTCACCATAGTGACCAGGCTGGTCTTGAACTCCTGACCTTGTGATCCGCCTGCCTCGGCATCCCAAAGTGCTGGGATTACAGGCCTGAGCAAATGCACCCAGCCAACTGAGCTTTTAAAAACAAATACATGTGAGAGGCTAGGTGCATGGTGGTTCAAGCCTATAATCCCAGCACTTTGGGAAGCTCAGGCGGGAGGATCCCTTGAAGCCAGGAGTTCAAGATCAGCTTGGACAACATAGTGAGACCCCATCTCTATGAAAAAATTAAAAATTAGCCAGGCATGGTGGTGCTTGCCTGTAGTCCCAGCCCCTTGGGAGATGAAGGAGAGAGGAGCTATTGAGTCTAGGAGTCCGAGGCTGCACTGAGGTAGGATGGTGACACTGCACTCCAGCCTCGGCAACACAGTGAGACCGTGTCTGGAAAATAATAATAACTAATAATATATGTGAAAGAGAGTTCACAATTAGCACAGTATCTCTATAAAGAGTTATTTCAAAAACAGCTCAATGGGAAAAGTGCCTTTATTTATTTGTCAGTCGTATTACAGAACGCAGGAAGCAAAGTGCCTGTGCCTCTGCTGGAAAATAACAACGACTTAACTTGTGGAAACGACTTCGCAGCTTAGAGCCCAGCAATGCCTATTTTGGATTAGACTGTGTATTAATTAAGTTCCAACGATTTCAACATTCATCACCTTGCATTGCACCTCACAGAAATTTAAAGCCAAAACCAAAACGGTCCTGGAGTTCTGAGTGAGGAAAACAGACTCCCTGCACTCGTACACGCGCTGACTCGCGCCCTGTCTAGAGTGCACAGGCTTAGGCGGCCAAGTGACCCGCGCCGGCTCCCGCGGGCCACCGGCAAACCCTGCCCGGGCCAGGCAGGCGCTGCGTCCGGGCGCGTTGGCAGTTGGCGACCCCCCTCGAATCCCCCTCTGCTGCCTGCTCCCCGTGGCCTTTGGAGGCTCGGTGAGTCGGCTCCAAATGTTTTCCATATTTGTTCAGCCTCCATAATTCGAATACCAGGGCAGGCCGAGTCCGCCTTGCGCCGCGCTCCAGGGTCCAGGGCCCCGCACACGCATCACCCACCCAGCCACGCAGCGCCATGGGCAAGAACAAGCAGCCCCGCGGCCAGCAGAGGCAGGGGGCGCCGCCAGCCGCGGACGCCGCTGGGCCCGACGACACGGGGCCGAAGAGGGGCACGGGGGCCCCCAAGGAGTGCGGGGAGGAGGAGCCTCGGACCTGCTGCGGCTGCCGGTTCCCGCTGCTGCTCGCCCTGCTGCAGCTGGCCCTGGGCATCGCCGTGACCGTGGTGGGCTTCCTCATGGCGAGCATCAGCTCCTCCCTGCTAGTCAGGGACACTCCATTTTGGGCTGGGATCATTGTAAGCATCGAGTCTGTTTTGCCTAAGCGCGTTTGTCAAACAGGAATGCGAAGTCGCATGGTGGAGTTGAGACTAACCCAGCTGCATGTGCCCTTCCCCAGGTTCACTCCTCTAACTCGCGCTCTGCTTGGTGACTGATGCGTGGGGCACTGGGTTTTCCCGGGCGGGGCAGGGCTGGACGCGGGAGGGTTCCTGCCCCTCTCCTGCTCGCCGCTCCCAGCGCCTCCACCGGGCCTGACTGACGCTCTGGAGCTGGGGAGCTCATCTCAAAAACTGCTGATTTGGGTCAGACTGAACAGCCTCAATACTAACAGCAGATTCATTCGGGCTCTTTTCTTATCCTCTTACCCAGATCCCACCCCTGTCCTTAAATAAGTGGCAAAAAGTGAATTAAGTACATCTAGTAAAAGCGGGAGAGGAGAAAGCCTGTATTTGGAGTTGCCACATTGAGTAGCATTCATTTTATGTTTTAGACTGAGGCTCCATTATAAGTTTCATGAAATTATGGGCTATGGCAGGAAATGTGAATACAGCAAACACAGCCTTAATCTACTGGAGTCTAAAGTGAGTTAACCCCAGGGCGCTGGCCATGGCAGAAGTATATTTGGGACTCCACTGATGGATGTCCTGTTCTAAGTAGAATAGTACCCAGCTGTTGTGAGTGTTGAAACACGTAGCATACTTGGCTTGATTAAATGAATTCTGTAATGTAAAACAGGTTCTACTTACTGAACACCTGTGTGCCTGCCCTGCTAGAGGCCTTACATGTATTATTTCTAATTCCCGCATCATCCTGACTGGATCGTTTTTATCATTCTCATTTCTCAAATGAAGGAACCTAGGCCAGACTCACCCAGGGTCGTGAGTGGGAAAAGCATTCAGCCAGGCTGATTCTTTCTTATCTGCATTTTCCTCATTGAACCATGCTGCCACCACATTTGGTTTGTAACTTTAATATTATGTTATATTACAGTGCCTTGTAGCTTACTAAACTCTTTCACGTGCATTATTTCATTTGACCCATGAAACAACACTTTGAAGTGGGAATTGTTACTCCTTTTGGGATGTGAGGAAATAGGCTAAAAGTCAGATGACATTCTCAAGACCAGAGATTGAATGTGACCGAATCCAGAGAGACTAGAAATGACATTTTTTACTCCTAGTCTCATATTGCATCCTTACTGCTATAACTGACCACAGGAACTGTAACTCACAAAACATTACTCAAAATAATTTTATATCAGGGACAGACATTAAAGAGACCTGACATATATGCATAGATGTATGTATTTCCTAATTAAGATTATTTGAATACATAATTTTTTGCATAGTAATTTAAAACTTTAATGTTTGTACTAAGAATCCCCGTGAAATTGTCACGATTGGAGTTTTATAAATCAGGTGATTTTAAAAATAGATATTTCAGGCACCTCAATGACTATCCACATACCTGGGGGAAAAATGTCTGCTCTTTAATGCTAGGGGAATTAAAACACAAAAAGAATGAAGCTCTTTCATTCAATGTTTTTGAATATCATTTGTGAATGTGTTTCCCATCCTTTCTTTATTGCAACTTCAAAAAGCCCAGAACCAAGGAGGCAAATTAGATGGAGAAAAAACTTGTTTTAATGTTTAAGGCATGGACATACAAACAATGCAACCCAGAAATTTTATGAACTAAGCTCCTGTGGGAGACGTTGTTCCCAATTGCCCTGGAAGCTCCCTGGGTGTTGCACAGAGGGCATTATATATAGCCAGGTCTCTGTTCTTCCTGGTCTTCTTTTTTTTATCATCTAGGATTCATCTGAAGGTTGCTCCCAGTACATAACCCTGATGATATCTGTAATCTTAGATTTTCTTTCAACCGAGAATCTATGTAGACAGAGCAGCTAGTGGAGATGTCCTGAGACTAGTGAGGAGGGTCTCTGAGAAGCCAGGCCAGGAACAACTCTCATCCTAGTAGGGCCAGAGTTTGGGCAATGTATCACTGTCTCACACAGGCACCATGCTCTGCTTGTCCTCACCATGCTGTCTGTGGTTGGTCACAGGGCACTCTTCCAAGCTTTCAGGGAAGGCAAAAGACAGCAAGGCAGATGGCGAAGTGCAGATGTGTACACACCACACTTGGTGTTGAGCCCCAGCTCAGCCACTGTGTGCCGAATAACTTTGATTTTTTTTTTTTTCTTTCTTTTTTTTTTTAGACAGAGCCTTGCTCTGTTGCCCAGGTTGGAATGCAGTGGTGTGATTTTGGCTCACTGCAAATTCCCCCACCCATGTTCAAGAGATTTTCATGCCTCAGCCTACTAAGTAGCTGGAATTACAGGCGTGCACCACCACACGTGGCTAACTTGTGTGCTGAATAACTTCGGACAAGCTATTTAACTTCTCTAAGTTTCCATTTCTTTACTAATGAAATCAGAATGATAATAATTTCTATTTTTGGGGCTGCCCTGAGGATGAAATAAATTAATACATGTAAAGCACTTAAAATAGTGCCAACAAATGCATGATTCAGTGTTGGCTCTGCTTATTAGCTGCTTGGGAAGCAGTCACTGGTAGTATCACTCTGCAGAGGAAAACTGGCTTTATTTCCTCTATAGACTTGCAGAAGTATCGTTTTTTTTTTTTTTTTTTTTTTTTTTTTGAGACGGAGTTTCACTCATGTTACCCAGGCTGGAGTGCAATGGCGCAATCTCGGCTCACCGCAACCTCTGCCTCCTGGGTTCAGGCAATTCTCCTGCCTCAGCCTCCTGAGTAGCTGGGATTACAGGCACGCGCCACCATGCCCAGCTAATTTTTTGTATTTTTAGTAGAGACGGGGTTTCACCATGTTGACCAGGATGGTCTCGATCTCTTGACCTCGTGATCCACCCGCCTCGGCCTCCCAAAGGGCTGGGATTACAGGCTTGAGCCACCGCGCCCGGCCAAAAATCGTTTTTGACTCGCTACACTTCCCAGACTAGTTTGAACCTTGAAGCAAATATCAGTTTGACCATCTCACCTTTCTCTTTTCTCAGCCAAGTTACTATTTAGCAATCACAGTGGTATTTGATTAATCCAGTACTTTCTGAATCTCTCTGGAGGCTTATAAAAATGAACTTGGAGGAGAGTGGCCTCCTCAAGGTCATTTTTCCTTTGGGATCTGCAGTGATTCAGGGCTGGTATGTTCTGCAGGGTTATACTAGTTTTCCCTGTTCAGGAGTCCCACCAGACCAAAGCAATCCAGGCAGATCCATGGGCTGAGGCTGATTGACACTGGCTCCCAGGATGTAGGCTGAAGCCAAGCTGAATGAGGCACCCACACCGTCTACAACTTTCCATGCTTCACTCTTCTGTTTCCCTTTATTCTGGTTGCCTCTTCTCATGTGGTCATCGCTTCATTTTATAAGGGCCACTATCCCATTAACTTGGAATTTGGGGATGGCTGTTTCCCTAACAGAGCCTGGATATATGGATAAATCCACTTAGGTGGCTTCTCTTTGACCAATGCCTGGGTGACTTGATGAATATTCAAGGTGTGGTTATAGATTGAAGAGGCACTTGGTGATCTATGATCAGAAATTTATGCCCAGTGGAATTTTGGGAAAACAAATAGGTCATTTCTTATCTATCCATAAATGTGACTCCACTCATCCCCAATCAAAATATGATTGAAGTCTTTTTACTTCAGTTACAAAAGATTCCTGTAAGGGGGGAAAAAACCTCACAATGGAGTCATTATGGAGACTACGTAACCTGTGAAAGTGCTGTTCATGTCTTATAATTCTTTATAGATGGTTTGAGGGTTGTAAGTCGCACTGCAATGACAAAACAAAGTGGAATGGCAACTTTGAGGATGCACTTGGCTGGGTACGGGGGATCCTAGGACAGAGAAGTTTGTTCTGCATTTTATTCTATTAATGGCTTGAGTAGCTAAGTCAGATGCGAATTCAAGTTGCTCATTTTTCTGGAATTCTGATTGATGAAAAATGTGTAAGGATTGAAGGAATCTAAGGACTCTGGGGATTTTACTTCTCACTGAAATGAATACAGTTTTAGTTTAGGTAAAGCATTACACGCTTAACCTTTGGCTTTCCCTTCTTCATTCAGTAACATCTGCGGAGGGTGTCTGCTGTGCTACGCATTGGTCTAAAAGTAACGAATCAACTACCTGGAGGAGATCTCCAGATCCTGATGGACACGTGCCCTTATTATATCTGACAGTAATGAATAATTCCGATTAGAAAATTTAACCTACCTACACAAATACTTTTAAAATCCATTTACCTTTCAAAGTATTCCACTTACAGTGATTTATTTGTTTTGGCATCTCTACTCTGAAGTCAATTTAAGTCCAAACTCTTGCTACTCATCCCCAGTGAAGATGTTTAGTATTCGATATTCTCTTGGCCCTTGTAGGGAATATTTTCCCATGGAAAGTGAGAATTTATTGCCTTATTGTGCTTTTCAGCTTCTCCCACTCTCCCTCCATTGCTTCCATAACCCCACTCAGTGGAATGAAAACCCTGAGATAAATACTGCATTAATCACATTAGAAAGTTTAAGGCAAAGGCTTGAAAGAAAGGGAAAAATATTTCCTTTATTTAATGTTATTCGTAAAACTCATCACATGAATCTGTAATGATTAAAAGTCCTGTCAAGAATTTCATTAACAGTTTTCTTATGCTAACTAAGAAATTCAAGTTGCAGGTTTATTCAGATTTTAAGTCTTGCCCTAGTGGAAGGGAAAATTGGGTGGTTATTTATTTTAAAACAGAATATACCATGAAATTCACAAGTAGACATATGACGTATAGTAAATAAGGAACAAATACAGTTGTTATACAGAATTTATAAGTAGAGTAAGTAAGACAATAATTTAGCTAAATGGTTTGATCATGGTTATGAAAAGTAACTGGAAGAGACAAACATTTGACATTAGGGTATGGGATAGACCCTTCAAATCAAGAAGCTAAACGTGGTGTTAACTTTCTATAGAGGTGTGTTGATACTTGAAAATT